ACTTTTTCACTCTCAGAATTACATGTGTTTTCATCTCCTATTTTCTCTGCATAAAAACCCAAAACCTAAGTGTTTGAAAAAGCATTCTTCAATGGCGTCTTCTTCATCAACAACTGCTCAGTTCCAATCTACTATGGCTGCTGTGACTTCAGATAACTTAGGTGTTGTTCCATATTCTCCTCCCAAAAGAACACTTCTAACACCTGTTGACAAACTAGAAGTTCTGTGTGAATCTATGGTTGAGTTTGATTCTCTGGCTGATAATGGGTTTGATTTTCGTTTCATTGTTAGAGCTCAAGGATGGGTTAAGTACTTTGATAGGTTGTTTGGACCAGTTTACCCTCTCCTTGTGAAAGAATTCTGGATTCATGCATCTGTTTATCCCAAGTTCATTTTATCATCTGTGCTGGGAAAAGAGATTATCATCACAGAGGATCTGATAAGAAGATTGATAGGTTATGAAGAAACAGATGGTGTTTCACACTTGCCAGCTGGGCGTGTGGACATGGAAGAGGTTTATGAGGAAGTTATGACTGCTGGTCAAGCTTCTAACAGATTCAAAGATCTGAAGCCTGATTACAAGATCTGGGCCAAGATCTTCATGGGATGCATCCACCATAGGAAATCAACAAATTCTCCTGATTATGTCAACAATGAACAGATCTATTTTATGTACTGCCTTAGTCAGAGCAACAAGGTAGATCTTCCATACATTCTGTTCATGCATCTGTGGAATCATATCAATGCATCTAGAGAATCTGTAAAAGAGAAAGGCCAGAAGATCAGGACTTGGATCCCATTTGGAAGGTTGATCTCAGATCTTCTCACTGAAAATGGTTTAGTGACTGCTCTGTACGCTGCTGGGGTTACAGAGGAATTAGAGTTTATTATGGGAAAGCCTCTGAACACTAAAAGTCTTCTGAGACTCAAAATTGTAGATGAACTCACTACTGCTCCAAAGAGGCTGAATATGTCTGATTTGAATAAGAGGGTTCCTGTAGCTGACTTTCCTCTATTCTTTGCTGAAGAACCCAGACATATAGTGCTGATGTATATAGAGGAATGCAAGAGGGAAGGAATACCTGTTCCAGCTAATGTGTTTCAGCATGTCAAACAACCACTACCAGATGCAGGAGAAGAAGAAGAAGTACCACTTCAGAGGAAAAGGACTCAGCCTGCAGAAGAATCTGAACCTGTCCAGAAGAAGGTCAAGACTGCTGAGAAGCCCAAGAAGCTCTTGAAGAGAAAAGATTCTGGAGAAGCTGCCTCTGTACCTGCCAAGAGGATTAATGTAAAAGGTACTAAGTCATCTGTCCCTTCTGCAAATATTGTTATTAATGATTCTAATATTAAGTCTGTTCCACAACCACCTGTTACTCAAACAACTTCTGTTACTGCCCCTAGTTCTGTTTCCCCTCAAAAACAACACACTGCTTCTGTTTTAAAACCATCTCAACCCAAAATACACATCAAACACTTTATTCCACGTCCATCACCATCAGAATCACAACCAACAGAACCACAACCATCAAAACAACAACAACAATCTGATCAACCACAAAACTCTGAACATCCAGAAAACCAACCCAAAGATGTTCAACCAGAAAAATCCCCTGACAATCCACCATCAAATATTCCACCTTCTGAACCTGTTGCACCAGTTACTTCTGAACCTACAAAAGTAACTTCTGCTCTTGTTTCATCAGAACCACCATCCAAACAATCTGATATTCCTTCAGAACCTACTCCCATCCCTGAGACAGAAGTTCTTGATGTCACTCCTCTAAAAACAGTATTTCAAGTATCTTCTACCTCTTGTACACCTACAACATCCTCCAACTCATCAGAATCAGAAATCCACCCAGATTTTCTTATTTCTCCATCTGACAAATACCCTGTACATGAACCTGAACCTGAATCAACCATACCTTCTAAAACTCCCATTCCGGATCCTATGCCTCCACCTGCACCATCATCTGAGATGATTGTTCCCAATTCCAATCCATCATCATCTGGTATATCTTGTGCCCAAGTTTCTTCTCTTTATCATAATCTATCTTATGGTTTCAAACTGAAAGATTTTTATGATAGAGTTGAACCTGCTGAACCCCTGAACCCTCTGAAACCAAAACTCAGACAGGCTCTTCCATCTGTAATCCTTTCCTATATTCAATCAATGAACAATGTAGGATCCTTAGCAACCATTTCTGCAACATCTGGTAAAGCTGTTGTTTCAGCTCTGCAACCTGCATCTGATAACACAGTTGCATCTGTTCAAACATCAACCTCTGCTTTCATACCATATTCTAATGAACCCTTTGATGATGTTTGCCCACGCACAAGACCAAAACCTAATCTGCTTAATGCCTTAAACAGATCCTTACCTCAAAAACCAGAAATTCCTTTCATTCCATATTATCCCCCTCCTCTGATTTCCATCCAAAAATCACTGTTACCACCAACTCCCAAACCTAAACATATGACTCTGGAAACCTTGCTTAAACCACAGCCCAGACTTAATATTGATCATTTATTTCAAACATTTTTGCAAGAAATACAGATGTCTTTAGGTACTGTTCAGAAGAGATGCTCTGAAACAATGGATGCAAATGAATCTGACATCATCTGGAAAGGATTCATCAATAGATTCAACACTGTAGCTTCCAATCTGAAGAACGTCTGTTCTGATGATGCAAAGCTCAAAGCTGAAAGGACTCTATTCTGGACTGTCAACAAAACTAAACCTCTGCTTCGTTTAGATGCTCCTCCACCTCCAACAGAACCTACTGCCAATGCATTAACTATGACTCTGGTAGAACCCTCTTCAGGATCTACAGAACCTATGGCAATTGACTCTGTTCAGGCTGCAGAACCTCCACCTTCTTCATCTGAGATAAAGAAAGAACATCCAGACTTTGAAGACAAGATTGCTGCTCTGGAGGCTGGTCAGTCTGAAATAAAATCCTGGATGGCAAAGCAAGACAAGAAATATGAGGATATGACAGAGTGGATGTCAAAACAAGATGAGAAGAATGAGACCATGACTAAGTGGATGTCAAAGCAAGAGCAATCATCATCTGAGATTACAGATCTATTGAAGATGCTTTTGTCAAAACACTCTTAGATTTTTTTTCTCATTCTAATGTTTGTGCATCTGTAGTTTGCATCTGAATTTTATTGTTATATCTTCTGATGTTTACCTATGTACTCTTGCTCTGTTATTTTGAATGAATCAGTTTTTCTTCATTGAATTATCTTATTTATTGTTCCTTTTATTTGTCTTTTTAAAAAGTTTTTACTTTTTGCTTATGACAAAAAAGGGGGAGAAAATAAAGATCTGAATTGTTTAATATAACTTCACTAGAATGAATCTTCAGACATATCTATTCTATCTAATATTTAAATTGACTATTTCAGAACATTTGATAAGAACACTCTATAAAAGAATCTCATGAGTCTCTCAGATCATTTGTCTTTTATCAATCTCTGAATCTTATATCTGCAAGTCATTCTGACCCTAAATTGTTATAAGAACAAACAAGATCTAACTCTGAAGATTACTCAAGACAAAAGGGAAGTTTCTATTCCTTTTTCATATTTAATTCAGGGGGAGATTCATCATCTCAGGGGGAGTTATAATTCTTTATGTTCAGTTAAATAAAATTTCTGATACTTTTTGTCATCATCAAAAAGGGGGAGATTGTTAGAACACAGATTGGTTCTTAATAATAACTCTTTGTTTTGATGATAACTGTTAGAAAATTTATATTTAAGAATTATATACTCTAAAATTTGTTTGAGAGTTTTACTGCAGATTGAATTGAAATTAACTCTCTAGAAGCAAATCTGTTTTGGATACAAGTAGTTATCCTGACTCTGAAGCGCCAGATGCATCTGACAGAAGAATCTGATTGCTCCTTACAGAAGATCCTGAGCGTAGTCTCCAGAAGGATCTGAAGCAAGAAGCTCCAGAACATTCTGAGTCAGAAGCATCTGAAGATAATCAGAAGCATCTGAAGCTGAAGCATCTGAAGCATAGAAGAATATTGATTGAAGAGTTTCTCAAAGCATTATCCTACAGAAGTTTCTGAAAGTACCAACGCTGCCAAGTACAGAAGTTCTGTGTCAAATATGCTCTAATGATCAACACGCTGAAAGCACACCTGCTGCAGAAGACTCTGATATAGCAAAGTTCTGAATATCATTAGAAGACTCTGATCCATTCAGACTCTGAAGAACTTGCTGAAAACTGAAGAAGAAATTTTCAAGAATATATCCGTTGGAGTTATTCAACGTCTCTTTCCTCATTTGTGCTAGACACACTTACACAACAAAAAGGATTTTTCTGTGCCATCTACTTCTAGGAAAGGTCACTTGATGTGAAGACAAAAAGGCTCAGACCTTTTTGGGACTCTCTTTTCAACGCTTAGCTTCCTTGGATCAGCTGCCTATAAAAGGAGAACTTCACCACATTCTTCAGTTACACAATTTGCTGAAAAGAAATCATATTATTCTAAGCTATCATTATTTCATATTCTTCTTAGAATCTTGTTGTACTTAAACTTAAGAGAAAAATCACTGTTGTGATAAAAGCTTTATAGAAGCATTAATACTCTTGTATTTAATTTACATTGATTGTAAAGGTTTTTCCTTAAGAGGATTCAGTTGGAATCAGTAGCTCTTAAGAAGACTAAGAACTGTTGTTCTTAGGTGTTACTATTGTAATCAGTTTGATTTAATAGTGGATTAAGTCCTTGTTGAGAAAGGCAAATCACTCTGGAAGGGTGGACTGGAGTAGTTGTTTAAACGAACCAGGATAAAAATAATTGTGTGATTATCTTTCAAGTCTTAATCTTTCATACTTATTCAACCCCCCCTTCTAAGTATTATCTCACCTTCAAAGTCCATCGAAGGATTTTAAGGTTGGCAGGGGGCTGAAGCAGGGCGACCCTTTAGCTTCGTTCTTGTTCGCCATCGTAGCAGAGGGCTTGTCTAGCTTGATGAGATCCACGGTTGCTGGTAATTTGATAACAGAATTCAAAATCAATGATCAAGCCACCGTGAGCATGCTTCAGTTTGCCGACGACACTCTACTTATAGGAGATGGTTTTGTTACAAACATTTGGGCATTCAAGGCTATTCTGCGGGCGTTTGAATTAATTTTTGGTCTAAAAATTAATTTCTCTAAAAGATGTCTCTATGGGATAGGAGTAGATCCTGCTTATCTTGAAGCTACTGAAGCGTTTTTGCACTGTAAATCCGACAGACTGCCGTTCAATTTTCTTGGTCTTACTGTTGGAGGAAACCATTGTCGTTACTCCTTTTGGAACCTGATGTTGTCTTGCTTGAGGAACAAGCTCTCAAACTGGGCTGGGAGAAATTTGTCAATGGGAGGTAGAGTATCCCTCATTAATTCGGTTATAGCTAACCTGCCTATACATCATTTGGCTTTTTACAAGGCTCCCAAAAAAGTAGTGAACGAAATTATCGCAATCCAACGTTGGTTTTTATGGGTTGGGAATTCTAGCAAAAAATTCATCTCTTGGATATCTTGGAACTCATTCTACAAACTGAAGGATCACGGAGGTCTTGAAATTTAACACGGAGGTTATGGAGATTTCAAAGCGGTGGAAACGAAATTTGGAGGAAGACCCTCACCTTCAGATATGGTAATTTGAGTATTAAGGCGAAAACTTTTGTCGATGTTGGTAGTTTGAAATCCGACTCTCTTTGGTTGAAGGATATTTTGTCAAGCTCTGTTTATGACCCCCATGTTGACTTCTGCAAGTACACGGTTTGCTCTGTTGGAGAAGGTCATGGTGCGGCTTTCTGGAAGTCAAATTGGATTGGAGATTTGCCGCTTAAAAGTAGATTTCAGCGGCTGTTTCAGGGCTGTTCCAGGAAGACGTCGACCGTCAGTGAGATGGGAGCTTGGGAGGATGGGCAGTGGGTTTCGAAAATTAGAGAAACGATGATCGATGCAGGATCCCCTATAGAACCAGAATGGACCGATTGTTGTAATATGTTGGAAAATGTTTCAGTTAACAACAATGAGTCCAATAACTAGAAGTGGTTACTTAACAACTCAATGTCGTATAAGGTTACCTCTTTTTACTCTTCTTTAACCTCTTCTTCCTCTGTTCATGATATTGGAACTGATAGTGCAACACTTCTGGAGATCCTTTGGAAAACGGTGTTACCGGCGAAAGTTCAAACTTTTAGTTGGAGGATGGCGCTTAATAGGCTGCCTACTAGATCAAATTTGATGAAAAGAAGAGTGATTGAGAATGCCCAACACTTGGATTGTGCGTTATGTACGCGGAGTTACGAGGACGTATCCCACCTTTTTTCACGTGCATCAAATCCTCGTTGGTTTGGAAAAAGATTTGCGCCTGGGTGGATATAGAGAACATATTGGAGGCTTGTTGTAATCTTCATGTGAAGGTTTGGAACTCGAGTCTTAGTGGCCGATGTCAAGCGAACAAGATCAATTCTATATGGTTTATTACCTGCTGGATTATATGGAGGGTTAGAAATAACATAATATTCAATAATGAAACTATTGAAGTATATGACATTGTTTTCCAAATTAAACTTTTCTCGTGGAATTGGTTGATTTTAAGAAGAGAGGAGAATAAGCAGTGTAGATTGTATGAATGATTTAAATTCCTATTTGACTTTTTGTAATAATTTTAACTTTGAAGGTGGTTATTTTCTTATTGGTCTAAGATTTCCTTAATCTCTTTTTTATAATATTTGTTTATAAAAAAAACAATTCGCTAAATTGTAACGAAAATTCTTTATCAAGCGAGTCTTTAGTTTTTTATTTATACTTACACATGACATAAAGAATGCACTGGTTCTTACAAATTATCCAATGAGAATCCAATTTCATCATATAAAACATTGTAGTGAGTAGGATGGCTTGTACCCTATTTAAAAATATGAAGAATAGTCACATTTAAAATAATAAATTCAAATCATTATGCTTTCTTAAATTTTTATACTATTTACTGATAAAAAATAACAAAAGTAAATAATCGACTAAGTTAAAATCACAAATAATTGATCAAATGTAATCAAACTTTACAAATGATCAATATAATAATTTTAAAATAGATATATAAAACATGTCATGTGGATAACAATTTCCCTTTTCTCTTATATATATATATATATATATATATATATATATATATATATATATATATATATATATATATATATATATATATATATATATATATATATATATATATATATATATATATATATATATATATATATATATATATATATATATATATATATATATAAGGTAGAAAATTTTTTAATTTTTATATTAAGTGATATATTATAATTATTTGACCTTTTTAGTAAATATATTTTGTTGTAATAATTGTGAATTTCAAATTATATTTACAAAATTTTTAAAATATTATTTTATGATAATATGTATACATGAATAAACCAATTCAAATATAAATTTTAAAGTTTTAGTATAGGTTTAGTCTATAGTTTTCAAAAAAAATTAATTGAGAAAAATTATTTAAAATTCTATTTTAACAATTATACTTATAATCTTTCCGGCATGTGCATACATGTAGAAATCATTATTTTTGGGATGACATATGATGTTATCAATAACAGTTCCTACACACAAATAAATATGTGATTTTAATTATATAACAACCATTTTTTAATTTAATTATTTCAGTTTCAATAACAAACCAGGTAAAATATTTTATTGAGGAGCATTGACTTTGATGAACCTAGTGCGATGATTCTTTTGGGCAACAATCAAAGTAAATTTTGGACACCAATTTTTATCAGAATGTTTGCACGCCTACATATGTAATTTAAAGAAAATACAACTATTTCATTCACATAATTTTAATAGCAATACTTAAAATTATGTTATGAAGTATATATCTTTATGATCTCTTCCAATTTAAAATTAAGGATTTGGTTGAATTGTGTTTTACTCACTCCGTCTCTAAAAAAATATATGACACCAATAGTTAAGATACTATTTGTCAAATCACGCATTTTTTTAGTGAAAGTATAATATAATCAAATTTGTTATAAGAAAATCGAAAATTATAATTTGTTGAGGCTTCCTGAAGCTGCATAGAAGTCCTCAAGCAACTCGCTATAGATTGAAATAATGAGATAAATCAATAAAATATTGACAAAAATATAAAATTTTGTTTATTTTCTAATAATTTATAAGAATTGTGTAACACCTTATAACTTTTAGTTTGTTGTAATAATCACACTCATTAGAAAATACAAACCTGAGTTTCTGAAACATTTTGATGGTTGAGTACGAACTGTAGCTTTGTAAAGAGATATTTAAGGTCAATATCTTGAGCTAACTACCTAAATATTAAATCATATGTAAGTGCAAAAATTTGTTGAAAAATATATGCTCAATGTTGTTCTCTTATAGTTTATATCACACTTATAGTAAAATGAAAATGAAAAGTGATATCATACATATAATTGATATGGAGATCCATGTGAAACATATAATAGAACGCTCAATTTCGGGTAACAAACGAAAATTCATCCCAATAAACTGCATGAAAGAAATGAATCGTGAATACATCATATCCATGCAAGGAAAATGATAATCAATATCGATTTAGAAGAGACAATATTATATATATACCTTTACATTTACATTAATTTTCAGTAGTACATTAGTAACATAATTATCATTAATTTTTGTTAGAGCAATACATTGAGTTGCAATTCCTTCATTAACAAGACATCTCCGTTTTCAAGGATCTTATTAACAAATAGCATTAGGATATAATAATTGAATAAAAAACGAACTAGATAATAAAAGTTCAATGACTCATACCATAAATCTCACAATTCTTTTTAACTAAAAGAATACACAAAAGAAGTTGAATAGGAGGACGTGAAGGGGGTCCAAACAACTTGCCTTTTATTATTTCTTACATTGTAGAAACTCTAAAAGACGGTGATTCACACCTATGACATTCATCCTCTTCAAATATATAGAATGGAGAATCTAAAAGCTACAAAAGTGACCAGAATTTAAATCACATGTGTAGTAAACATCAAATAAATGTATTTACCACATAGTTTATTTAAAGAACCTTATCATGCCATTCATTTTAGAATATTTTTTTTATCATATTGCATAAATATTCACAGTGTGATGAAAAGTTTACAATTACAATTGTCCAACGCTTAATCTTCACATGTTCAATTAGTTTCTGATATACAATGCTTACCATTAGAAAAACAACAATATATAAGGTTCAAGTGAAATAATATCAATTAAAATATTGTAATCTATCATTAAAGTTCCAGCTTCCATTTCGAGGACAAATTATATGTCCTCTTCTGACATCAATCTTTAGAAAGAAACAATGTCTTAAACGTTATAAGTTAAAATAAAATAGAAAAGAAAAATAACACAACAACACATACTGTCGGAGCTTGCAAAACACGACCATTAACTCAGGTAAAACAAGATTTAATAGAAATCCTAATAGAGCGAAGCACAAGCTTGTCATCATATCTACGACTTTTTAAAGACTGAAAGAATATTTGTAATCATTTAAAGCTATATATGTCATTAACTTAAAAGTAAAATAGATTGATATATTAATTTTTAAGTTCACTAACACGTAATACAACTTCTTCCCTTTAATGATGACTATTTCTTGACTCCAACATCAATTGAGCCCTTTGTTTGTTGGACAATACCTTAGTGTATTGTTGTAATGAGATCAATGTACATAACTGAAAAAATAATAACTCATTGTTATGTCTTATGATAAGATAACATTATTTAAACAATTCAAATTTTATTTATCACCTCCATAGGAAAATAAATTGGTTTTTTTGATTTGCCAACATTAATACATGGCATATCAATAGAATAGTGAAGTTTAATGTTTTTGTGGTGTTTGTATTATTCATAAATTGTTATGTCACTTAACCGCACTTTATCGTTATCATCATTTCCAATTTTAAATAAAAATATGTAAGACATAAATAAGGATTATCAATGGTATTAAAAATATTCAATTAGCATGAAAAATGGAGAAAATAAAAATATTCATCTAATATTATTTTTTGTTGATAGTATATTTAAGAGTAGAAAAGAAAACATACAAAAACTTACATTTGTGTTCTGCATGACATTTCATTTAATTCACTGATTTTGTGCACTCTGTTATTAGCCTTGATTCTAATATTTTCTAGAATTCTTTTTGTCTGAATTTAATAATGAATCAAACAATCATAATTTATAAACACAAAATCACCAATACTTATAGAGTAACTAGTAATATATCTCGGTCCAATCAATCAACTTTGGTTGATTGATACTTTGGTTATGGAGAAGGAAGTCCACTACAGAACCAGACTTTACAAGTAATGTAATTGACAAATATTTAACAAAAAATAAAAAGCAATTAATAATAACAAAAGAAAACATAAAATTTTAAGCATTTTCACTTAAGAACTTATCAACATTAAGAGACAAACCCTTTTGTGTAGCCATGAAACTTGAATGGAAACCACGACAACATTGAATACCATCATCAAGGTTAGT